AATTAATTAATCATAAATTACGTTATTTTATATTGACTATATAAAGTATAGTTAAAAGTGTATTCAAAAACTATTGTTATAATTCGCAACGATTTACAATATGCAATAAAATTGTATATATCGCAAGCCCGACAATCGAAATCCCGACAAACATATTCCCGACTATATCAAAATCACGACTGTATCAAAATCCCGACTATATCGAAAAATTTTAATGTTATTGTAGACATTTTCGCTATAGTCGGGATTATGGTTGTCGGGATTTCGATGCAGTCGGGATTTCAAACGTCCGGATTTTGAACGTCGGGAATTTAATTGATGGTATTTCGGTTGTCGGGCTTGCGATTGCCACCGACATAAAAATGTACAAATTACATATCTAGATGGATCTAATTAATACTTTTCTAATTGATTTAGACAAATCGTAAATCTTCAAAATAGGAACAAAAACACGGATTATTGTATTTGTCTGCGTTCCGCTGCAGTTTCTAACATTTTTGATTTATAGAGAGAACGAAGATCAAAGAGAAATTTGAATAGTTTTTAGATGCATTCATAAGTTTTTTTTGCATAATTCATGTTATGATAATCGAATGAAATTGGAAAACGGTTTTAGGATTATTTAATAATAATAATCGAATGCGACGATCACAATCATGACGTTGATGATGACGAGATGTGCTCTAGTTTCTCGGTATGCTCATAAACATATTCTGTCTGTTTCTTTAGGCTAGACTTATTAATTAGTTGGGGAAATGAGAGCAAAACGTTTCTCCGTCGAAAATATCCACGCGTTTAAAGAGATGAGACTTTTGAGATGAAATCTTTGTAATGTTTAGAAAGTGCGTTTTTAATTTTTTTTTTGTTTAATTGATTTGTAATCAAGGATTTTTAATGAAAGTATTGAAAAGAATAAAACTTATATTTTATGAAATGTTTTACATGTATTTTTTTGTTTCGTTTCAAAACGTAGACTTTACATTCTCGAACGAAAAGCGAAAGGAATCAAAAAATTAGTCTCCATTACTACTAATAATAATAATAGACTTATCACATAAAGATTAAAAAGAAAATGAACAGAAAACGACTTTGGGAATCCTGCATATATATATACACCAACACACATACTCTTGTGTCGCACAGAAATATATCAATGACGACGTTTGGACATCGAATATCATGTGGCTATTTTCGAACCCAAAGCGTTAGGTTTGTTGCCCTTCTCCAGTCTCTTCTGCTGCAGCTCCCATTGCCTCCGCTCCCTCTCCTCCTTCTTCTTTTGCCTCAACAGTTCGTCCGTGTCCCAAGCATCCTTCTCCCATCCGGAATTCTCTCCCCAATTCTCCAATTCATTTCCCTAGACAAAAAAATCATACAATACTTCGTTTCAATACAGAATGAAATATTTAATTTACCATGAATTCACTGGCCTCATTCGATGCTTCCAAGCTGTAACCCTTGCTCTTATCGCTGTTGGAGATCAGCAGCTTCTGCTGCCTCGTTATCTTTGGGGCCATGTCACCGAACAAATCGACAGGCTCTTCCTCCACCAGTTCCTCTTCGGTCTGCTGCTTCAACTGCTTGGCCTGCTGCTGCCTGTAATACTCTATGTGCTCCTGCACATTGCTCGGCTTCTTGTTCTTGAACTCCCAGTCGTTCCACATGTCCCCATCCTGTTCACCGTCGTTCTTCGTCACCACAATGTTGACGAGGGGCTCAGCGTCCGTCGACGGTCGTCGGCGCCTCCTGAAGCAGCACAGGGCTCTCCTGAAGATGTTCACGAAGAATAAAACGAAAGATTTCAGCTTGGTGACCAGCATCTTGATCAGCATCTCATCGATCAGCTGGAAACGAGCATGAACATGCGATCGGCGGATATTTACAATTTTCCGCAGAAAAATCACTTAACGAGTCAACAAATCTATCATATCACCAACACGTTTCTCCGGTTGCCTACGACACCATTATTGCGGTTGCCTAATAAAGCTGACTCAAGATTAATAAACTAATACATTTCTACATCATTTAATCAAATAATCACAATAACATTCTTATTATATTTATATTTAATATTATATTTAATAAATCAAAGAAAACGATATTCAACACTTTATCAAACCTACAAGTCCTTATTCAATAACAACCAGCAAACACAAATCTCATTATAATAATCTGCGTTAAGGTATTCATTAATTATCAAATTAATCAAAACATAAAATTCAAATTTAAATCTCATGTTTTAAAATCGGCCGTGCGATGGCGCTGATCGCGTTTAGTTTAAAGCAAATTACCGAATTGTCTTACACTATTTCCATTAAGTATCTGAACATACATTAATAGTATTTGCAACTTAATAAATTTGGTAATAAGATTTACGCATTTAAGGCCTTAATAACGAACTCGAAGTTGGAGCAGCGCCAAAATGTCTGAACTATAAGCTTCGATTCAGTACCAAAACATGACCCAATTGCGTAATACAATGGTTGTTGGTTGCGGCCATCTATCGGAATTTGTGTGAAGGTTATAGTTCAGCCGTTTATATCATCTCAGTTCGTAATTAGATCATTAATTGGGAATCTAAATGTATTGGAACATTGAGATTTCGTTTATCTACAAATAAATTACAGGTGTTTAATGTTTAGATAAGTGCTGAAGCAAAAATAATGAAGAAAAAAAAACACGCATCTCTATAATTGCAAAAACGGACCCAAAACAAAAACAACGATTTGCAGGCTTAATTTACTTAACTTGGGTAGTTTAATTAAGTTATAATTAGCAACTCGTTACTAAGGACTCTTTTAAATTGACAGTTTACTGTTGCTAAGATACAATTGTTACGTTTACGAATGATTGAATTTATGGCGTTTAATTCATCGAACTAAATTTTGAATTTGATTTTTTTTGAAATTAATTGTTTCATTAAATTGAATAGAAGAGGATAAATGAATAATATACGACAGCATAAATATAGAGTTTATTATATATTTGCGTTAGTCAGAGGATTTGGTTTAGTGTTTGCAAACTAAGCTAAGTTTGCAAACATCATGCTGCAGCTGCTGCGGCAGTACACAAAAAAAGAACATTTTTAGTTAAAAATACAAAATAAATCACCCAATCGTAATTAGTGCTAAGTTGTTAAGTGGATGCGGCCGGTTGTACTTCGCACATCGCCTGCAGGAAAGCTGAAAATTGGAAATGCAATTTCTATTAATTTTCATCTTTTGCACAAGAGAAAATATTAAGAGTATTCGTTTTCTCTTGCAAAGCGCAAGCGTTTCTTGTTCTTGTTGTTCCGTAAACAAGTTAACAAATATTATTTAAACAAAAAATAGATTGGCAAACGAAAAGTTGCGTAAGTTTTTGGAAGTGCGTAAGCCGATGGTAATTTGCATTGGTTTTCGAATAGTTTGACTTACGCTTGAAGTTGTACGAGAATGTACGTATAGATGGCGGGTCACGTAATTTGCGCTGAAAATGAAACTGTGCACGTGCGGACACGCGTATTTGGATGGGATTGGATGTGAATGTTTCCGGCGTTACGGAATGACTTACGGACGTAATCGATTTCGCCCTCGTCGTTCTCCTCGCCCATGCAGTCGTCGAAAAGTTTTTCGACTTGATCGTCGGACAGTTTCTCGCCTGAAACAAAGATGAATTATGATGATGATGTATTTATGTACATAGTTGATGAGCTCACCAAGTGAGAGAAGCGAATGCTGCAATTCGCCGAGCAGCATCTTTCCGTTTTCCGCTTTATCGTAGAGCTTCAGACATTCGATGAAGTCCTCGTAGCATCCCATATCTTTGACCTCCTTCTTCAACTCGGAGTAGATCTTGAGGCATTCGTCCGTGTTGAAGGTCTTCTCTCCGGCTTTCTTGCCGATGCCGAAGGCCTTCATCCTCTCGAGACTCGGATTGATGTTGACCGCTCGCAGCAAGTCGCCCAGCATCAGCGAGTCCATCTTATCCGGACTCGTCTCGTAGATTTGAAAGGCGAATTTCATCTCTGCGCAAAGGAAATTAATCATTACAATTACATGTTGCAGTTAATTATATAATTTTGCATGTGCGAAATGTTACACGTTCGAAATTCCTCGTTCGCGATCGAACATCGATGATGAATCTATTTTCGGTGCGCTTTGCTGGGCGCCACAGACACGAGCCTTATATGTGCTCTGCCCATCTATTCTTAGCTGCTGCTGCTGCACTCTTTGTACTTTCTACCGTTCCTCTCGTTCAAACACATAACTCGCAAATTTTCGAATCAACAAAAAGTGAAAATGAAACTAAACTTAATGATTGATTAGTAGTAAACCAAATGAAACTTACTTTCCACTTCATTGACCCTCAAACCTTCGTACGACGCCGACTGCAACGAAACAAAAGAATCAATTGTTATAAACAATTGAGCTCAACAACAATTGACAAACTTACCATGGTGACTTGAATGAAAGATGGACACCAAGTAAGTTGTTAGACACGAGTGGACGTTACTCGTTACGGCAATATCTTTTTATATCGGGGACATTTAATTAATTTAATTAGGTGGGGCTGTAATGAGACGCGGCGCAGCATCTTCGTCGTCGTCGCGGTGGGAGAACAATGCAGATGAGTTGCAGTAAAAATAATAAAGAAAGAAAATACACGCAGAAAACAATTAGAAGCTAACCAAATCTGTAAAATTTCTACAATTTGGATAAACCAATGAACTCAACAATTGGAAAAGTTCTGACTTATAGTCATGAACTTACCAAATTTGCAGGAATCTACACTATTGATGTGCACGTAATTATAGTAATTTTTATAAAGAATTGAAATAATCAATTGGAATAGTGATGAGTTCAACAGACTTGCAAGAATCTGCGTTGTTAATTTGTACGTAATTTGAGCAATCGTGAAATTACCAATTAAAAATGTTCCGAATTAAACCAATAAAATGGTCAGAATCTAAGAAAATCTACAAGAATCTAGTGTATTGATTATTAAATACAATCTTAGAATCACAAGAAAAGTTCTGAATATCAAGGAATCTGCAAGAATCTAGATTAATGATTTGAATGTAATTTTAGCAATTTTAATAGACCATTGGAATTGCCAATTCATTTCTTGATGAACCCTTACATTCGATACCAATTTGGTAAACAAATTTGGAACCCAAAACAAAAACAACGATTCGCAGGCTTAATTAACTTAACTTAGGTACTTTAATTAAGTTATATTTAGCAACTCGTTACTAAGGATACTTCTAAATTGACAGTTTACTGTTGCTAAAGATACAATAGTTCCCGTTGCTAATGTCGCCTTATGATCGTTGATCGAGTTAAAAATTGACATATGTCAAGAATGACAATATTGATTAGATAAAAAAAAATGAGTAAATAACGAACATTTGAATGTCGATATTGATTTGAATAAACATTTGAGTGAATTGGAAAATAAAAACTAGTGTCAAGAAAGTTTAATCAAATCTTTTATTCAATTATACATTAAAAAATAAATATATAATGAAAATCTGAGAGTAATGCGATCTGGTCCACCATATAAGGATGCTTTATACGTTGCTAGGGACGCTTTTCTGTTGTCATGGATCTAATTTGTTTTGCATTTTGTTTTAAGTTCAGACGCAGCAATAAATAATAAGATTGAGACGATATATTTGGACAGGTGATTGAATAATGGTGATAGCAATAAATATATAATGTATATTACGAAGAATATATTACAAGTTCCAGGATGTAAACATTAATATTTAACAGCAATTTAGTTTGTTTGTTTTCTGCACCTCGTGGGCCCCATTTTGGAAGTTGTTGCTTTGATTATGATGTTGTAATTCGATCGTGCCACGAGGGAGATTGTTTGGAATACAAACAAAACAAGGAAATAAAAATATTAATAATAATAATGGAGCAAAAATGATTGGATCGATTCTATATGTGTCGATGATTTTGGTTTGTTGATTCACTTCGCGTCCACGCGACGTCCATCAAGTTGCTGAAAATTAGAAACAAACGATTATTAGTGAGAAGCAAATATGAATTGAACTTTTGTGTTTTTATATTTTTAATTTTTGCGAAGCGGCTACTGCGAAGCTACGGAAATATAATTGGATTGCGTAATATGTCGGTGCACGCCTGCCAACGAGGCGGATCGCTCCTGAAATAGCGTCGTTAAATGAAGGAAATTGTGTGAGAGAGAAAGGGGAAGTGGGATTGCGTCGGTTTTACAGACGTAAAACGGGACGAGCTAATTACGGGCCAGAAGCGAATGATTGCGATGTATGCGTTTGCTGCTGCTGCTGCTGTTGTTCCTTAATAGTTATTACAATACTTACATAAAAATAAATTTAGAAATTTAGGAAATATATTTGATTGATTTTTGGGTTTTATGGTTGCCGTTGTTCGGGGACATCTTACGCCATCAACTTCTTGAGGAAGGCTAGAAAAGATGATAAGAGACGTTTCTAATTTTGCTAATTCTAATTTAAGTATCACTACTATTACTAGAAGATAGTATTAATCGTTGCAAACCTATTTACAAGAATCTATTGATGGTTTGTTTGATTGATTCAATTGACTTACGATCGTATGGGATGAAACCATCATCGTCTTCCTTGTCCATGCAATCGCCGAGGACGGTGTCGACTTGGGCATCTTCTAACCTTTCGCCGAGGGAGAGGAGGGTGTGGGAAAGTTCGGCGGCCATCATCTTGCCGTTCTCTTCCTTGTCGTACAGCTTCAAGCACTCGAGGAAGTCCTCGTAGCAACCGGTGTCCTTGTCCTTCTTGACTTGGCTGAAGATTGGCAAGAATTCATCGACCTTCATCTTCTTCTCGTCTGCACAAAAAACAAAATTTAAATGATATCCTTCTCCGTGTCACAATTGACAGTTATTTCAATCCAAGTAATCCAATAATCCATGCAGTTGTTATTTTTTATATAGTGGATGCGCCGGGCATCTAATATTAAAAAAAAAATATATGATCCAATTGGAAAAACTATATAGACTAATCGAATTGTATTTAGAAATTCAGCATTGATTGATTTCATCAACACAAAATATATCAATTGTCTTTATTGACTAATTATGGTGGATGCGCCGGGTGTCAAAATTGGAAAACGTCAAAAATGATTATAACTTTTTGTTGAATTGTCAAAAAGTAAATAATATTTTGAATGAAGAAAAAAAGTCTTTCCAATTGAATTGAGAAAATGAAACTGGTAATAATGGACTTACTCTTCTTCTTGGTTCCACCCATCTTCTCGACGAGGGCGACGGTTGGGTTCAGGTTGAGGGCGCGGAGGGCATCGCCAAGGTTGAAGGCATCCATGACACCGGTTCCCTCGAAATCGTAGATGGAGAACACGAAGTTCGCCCCTGAAAAGGCGCGACGCGACCATTAGTTGTTATTTCCTATTGTTTATTATTGCTATGGCAACTAGGGCAAGTATAGAGGTTGTTTCCCGTAAAAGAGGAGGAGGAAAGGTGATGGAAACTGCTGCTCTGATCTAAATTTAGATGGAGCCAGAGACGCAAACCATATAAGCGATCCAACTATTTATAGTTTCCCATATAGTTTACTCTATACTCTTGAATTACGTTCTCTATTTATAGATACACAAGAAACTTGACCCTATTTTTTTTTTTTTTCGTTGTTATTGTTTTGTAGTGTATATAGGAATGAGTACTTACTTTCAACATCCCTAGCACTGAGATCGGCCTGCAAACAGAAGAAGAGAGAAAAAAATATGTATATTAGATTCGATTTTGCGATTTGATTTTGCGATTTTTCGGAATGGTTGCTGATTAATGATTTTAGTGTGAAAACGACATAGACAGACATAGACGGCACAGTTAAAACTACACTACTACTTTTCTAAGTTGGGGGGTGGTTGAGGGGGTGTGTGTGTTTTTTTTTTATTTAGAACACGTATATTAATTATATGTTAATCATAGACGATACACAATTTGTGGGGGGTGTTTTTGGGGGGGAGTTTTGTACTATTTGTTTTGCTTGACCTTGGACAACACGAGAAGAACAATATTACTTTACCATCGCCGCCGCCTATTCAGAGATATCTCAATTGTTTTGTTTCTTTTTTTTTTCTTTTGATTTTTTTTTTGTTTTTTTATTGGTTTAAACCGAAGAGATGAGATGCGTTGTTGTTAGGATAACGGACAATTGAAGTTCAGTACTATTTTGGCCTTCTGGATTTGCTTTCTCCAGTATTTAAAGGCTCGGGCGTAGGCCGGCTCTCCGACCTCCTTTTTCATCTGGTTCATATTTGATACAAAGAAGTGTGTTCTTTCTTATATTTTCTTTTTTTTTTGGCGTGTTTCGGTTTGAAAAGGGTTGAAAATTGAAAAAAATTTGTCGTATTCACTCGCACGCACACAGACAGCAACAACAACAACAACAACCAGCACTAAACGTACAAAACCATCAACAACAAGGACTGATGGTTTGATGGTGCTCACGGATGTGTACTCACCATTGTGACGACGATAGTGTAACTTGCCTTCTAGTAATTTGACCAGAAGTGGGGCTCGGAGGTTGGTGGGTCCATGCTTTTATACGTCCTCCCCGGAGAATGCGAGAATAACCCGCTTTGGCAACGTCGCCCGTTCACCGAAATTCGGGATTCCTCGCATTCGGAATAGATGTCTTGATCAAAAATAGAATCAGTTCTTCACCTCCTCCTCATCCCAAGTAAAAAAAAACACACACACACGAGATTTCATTACTCAACGCACAATTATTTCCGTGCACTTTTACCACTCTCTCTACCTATTAGGTATTGCTTACTTTTCATTTTACTTGATTTACTTTGCATTTGCCAAAAACACCATGAAAAGGCACCAAACATTGCAACTTATTTCATTATAAGCGAGTAATTGAATAATTACATGTGTTATTAAGTAATCTGTAATTCTACATCTTGCATTTTCTATTTGAGAAACGTTATGATTTTCATCTTTCGTTTAAAATTATTTGATTGGTTTACTAATTTGAAAGAAACAAAAAAAAACAATTATACAGCATCAATTTAAACGAAATTGTTGCTTCATTAAGTGTCTTAATTAGTGTCTAAATGTAAATAGATTCAATACTAAACTGAAAATATTGTTTTTTGAATGTATTATCACTATACATGCGACTTGTCAAGTAAAAGCAATCTATGTTCGAGATTAGTACTTGTAAACTAATTCGTACAAGTACTTGTTTGTTTCTAACATTTTCATTTCACTACATAGCTGCAATTTGATATACATATATCAAGTAGTTTTGATGACCTATTTTGCAAGACTACTTGTATTACTTAACTAATTAGTAGTAAATAATTCCATAGCATTTTCATTCCACCAGATATCTCTATAATTGATGTATAGATAATTCCAATTAGTTTGAAGGATACAAGTAAACATTCCACAAGTATTTTAAGGATGAAAAGTATAGCTGATATAAATGTAAAATACGTGTTAATATCGTATTACTGATCTAGATCATGAGAGTATAAGACTACCGATGGATACTGAAATGTGCTAGAGAAAAGTATTAGTTAGCGATCGATAATGGTTTTCATAGTTTAAACTATGGACGAGTGCACAAAGAGTGCGAGTACAATGGAAATATGCATATACAACAAAAATACAATCGTGGCCTAGCTTCGGGTTACATTGCTAAAACGATGAAGGAATAACACAGAACGGCGATGATGGTAAGTAAGTAGAGTCCTCTAAAAATAGACAATCTTATATTTGTTTTCGTTCGAGCCGTTTGTGTGTCAATGGACGGAAATAGAAGAACGAGCGCGAATTTCGGTGCTTCAGCAGCACGGAAAAAGAGTGAATCGAAGGCGGCGTCGACGGAGAGCGAGCGACATCGCACGAGAAAATCGAGCAAAAATAAAAATTTACAAAAGTTTATATATATGTGTATGTATAGATATATGTATGTATATAAGAAAGGTTGGTGGTGGGATGAGAACCGGCGGTTATAAAGAGCGGCGAGACTGGTTAAACTACTTCTTCTCGAGAAGCGTTTGCTGCTGCTGCTTGCCTCTGTTCTTGCGGAATCCAAAGAACTTGAAGCTAAAGTGCCACTTCTTCTTCTTGGTGTCTTGGCTGGGCGTCGCGTTCAGCTTGGAGATGTTCGAACCGCCGGAGACGTCACCCTCTCCCGCCTTCTCCAGCGGCGACGGCGCGTTCAACTGGATCGAATCCATCAGCTCCTCGTCCGGGTGTCGCCTAAGAATCGAATCCTCCTCGTCATCCTCGTCGTGTGGCAACGGGACGTTCTCCGGATGATCAACGGAATTGTCCTTCTCTGCCCTCGTCTCCTGCAGCTCGATCACCTGAATCACGTGCTCGTTGTTCTCCTCCCATTCCTCGAGCCGCTTCCTGCCCTCCTCATCGAGCAGATTGTTCAGCACCTTCTTCGAGTTCATCACCAGATCGGTTACCCGGGACTTTTTCTCCACAGCCTTTGCTGTATCCTGTTTGATCGGTTGCGGCGGAGGCGTCGGGATCTCCCTCTCGGCCTGCTGCTGCTGAGATGATGGTAACGGCGATGTTGGTTGATCACCGACTCCGTCCTTCCTCGGCAAACTCTCGTAGTTTACGATCTCGAACGGCGGCGACATCATCTCGTTGAGCAACCTCTTCATCTCCACGTCCAGACTGACCGGTTCCTCGGCGTTCGTCTTCGTCACCAAATTGCCGATGTTGATCTTGCTCAGACCCTCGATGATGTCCTTGATTTCGGAACAGTTCTCCGGATACTCATCTTGAAGCTCATCGATTATGTTCATTTTCTGCGATTCCATGCCTGCAAAAACAACAAACAAACAAACATTCCGCATTTCTTAATAACGTATTGAATATAATTATACTTTTGTTGATTGCAATGTCCATGGCTGATTCCAAGATGTCGTTGAGCATGTTGGACGCTACCGCTGTCGATTCGCTCTCTGCGGATTTATCAAATTTAACCTCGCCCATTTCATCTAGCGCAGAAAACATCATTCGATTAGAGCAAATTTCTTAAAAAAATGCAGGATGAAGCGAAAAGAGAGATTTAGAAGTTGCTTGAAACGCGATGCGATTGGAAAACTTACAAATTTTTGTAGATAAATTCATTGGAGACATCTTGACAACGTCAAAATAAAAAAAAACAAATAAATAACGTCAACAACAAATAAAAAGACAAAACCGACGGTGGCTCGATTTTAATCAATTCATTTCGATGCATGATGTGTGGATGAAACGTCAGGATGCGTGACGACGACGTTTGATGACAGTTTTAGAGAATGCCTTCTGGAACATGAGTAAACGTCATGAGCGGGCCGCAAAATCGAATTTAAGTGAGAGAGAGCTGCACCTTGTGAATTATGAGGAGCAGCCAGAGCGTTTCTTAGCCGGGCAGAAGAAGGAGAAGAAGCAGAAGAGGAATAATAGCTTGAGGAGCAGACGGTGCTGCGGAGAGGAGGCCGAAGAGGACGTCGAATTGTCGCTGGAGGTGGAGATTGACGAGAGCTTGAAGGATCTGCTCTCGTCTACAAATGATTATTCTGATCTTCTGGACGTGACGATCATCCAGCAGGCGGATTCGAAGCACGAAACCACCGTCTCTTTAGAGGCCAATGACATCTCGGAGATAATCGAGATGATCAACCAGCACGAGGCTAACTGGAGGAGGACGGTCAACGGTGGAAGCAACGGCAGACCGAAAGAACATCGATTCGATTGCGCAACGGGCGAGGAGATTCGATCTGTAGATGTTGGTGGAGGAAGTAATTACATGAGGCCATCACCTGAGAGCGACTCAGATGAGCCGAGCGTCGTGCAGGATAAAACGACAGTCTACACCACGCCGTACACTTTCAACGACGTCAAGAAGAATTTATCCTGTTTGAACCCGGATATTCACGAGGAGGACAAACCTGGCACGCCGTGTTTGTGTCAGCACTGCGGGATGGTCGGAGTCCTTGTGGAGTCGCAGAAGAGGCCGGCCATCCCGCACGCGCCGAACCCCAAATTCACGCCAGAACCAAAATCCATCCAGAAGAAGCGACTGATCGATCTTCGCACAAAATCGAAATCGGAAACCAACATGATCCTGCTGAAGGAGCTGACCAACAAAATAATCTCCCTGGAACACAGATTGAATCAGCACGAAGAGTGCACCGTTCGAAAGGATTACTTCAAGTATGTTATTCACAAGTTGCTGACGCAATACACGAGCAAGCTGAACGAGATGAAATTAAATAATAACACGAAGACGGTGACCATCGCCACTCAGTACAGCAAGACGACCAACAGATCGCGCGATAAGAGCGCAACCCGGCACATCCACGCCAATCCAGTAAAAATCGTCAATTCGGACGAGACCGTCTTCTCCGAGTTATCCCATCGCTCTGCAACCAGGAAATCTTCTAAGGCAAATATGCAGGAATTCAGAAATAAACTATCTACTTTGATGGAGGATAGGATGCGTACGCCGAAGAGGTCTAGACGTGAGCCGAAAACCGAGAAGCACAACGACGTGCTGAAGCTGCCTCCCAATATGGACGATATCCAGGTGGAACACTGCAAGACCGTTTTCATGGCGAAGGAATCCAAGTCGCCCTTCCGACAGCAGCAGCAGCAGAACAAAGCTCAACCGTATCCGGAGGGTGGTAACGAGCTCGAGTTTCTCAACAAGCTCAGAAAGGAGGTGGACGAGAACATTAGTTCGCAGACAATCAAGCAGCTCTGCGATCTGGTGTACAGCAAATATCAGGAGAAGAGGCCTCCGCCTTGCAACGATGCAGTCTTCAGGAGGAACATTGAAACGCAAAAGAGGAACGCGGACGAGTGCACAAAGGTTCACAGGAATAAGAGGACAGCAGTACAAAAGGATCCTAGATGCGGCGACATCCCAGATAAACTGCTGCAGAAGCGCGATGATCATCGTAATCCGAGCATCCCGAAGGATAGCGTTCGACGAAAGGACAAGCTCGACGTGGCCTACGTAAATCCTGCAGTCAAGTCGTGGCACGAGGAGCAGAGCAGCGACGACGTCTTCCTCAACGACCGAAAACCCTCCAAGAAGGCCAACAAACACACCATCCAAGGTATCATTTTTCACTGCTACAAAATACAAAAAAATATTAATATCAAAAAACGTTTTACTTAGAGAAAATTAAGTACTTGAAGTCTCTGGCGAAGAGGAAGAACGTCGATGAAACTGAGCTTTGGAATAACATCCTGAATCAAGCGAAGAAACACATAAAATCCAACGAGGATACTGTTTCTATTCAGCTTCCGGGAAGCGCGAACAACAGGGAAATGTCCGAGTTGGAGTTGACGCTTTCCAATCTTAAGGAGATCGTGAAAAAGTCACGTAATCTGAAGAAAAAATGCTCCTGTCTGTCCATAGAGTTGAACTACAAAACGTCCAGCGACAATTACATCAAGAAGCGAACTGAGAGGAAGATGAAGAGCACCAGAGTCTCCTCGTCCGGCGCCAAGTAGAGATGCTTACTTTATTCTATCTGAGGAGAAGAAAAGAAAAACAAAACACAAATTAATTATGAAAAAAACTAAATGTCCGTGAAGTAATTATCGTCCAAAACTCATTTGTGAATGTCGATTGGTAAATAAAAACCAAGTATTGTCTTTGTCTTTATAATAATTATTTGATTCTTTGTTTCTTCTTTACAATTAATTAACAGTAGTATACAAAAATGTTTTTTTCTTCTTCCTCTTCTTCTTCTTCTTTTTCACTCTTGTCCTCGCGTCGTCGTCGTCGTCGTCTTCGCATCCTCTTCTACATCTTCAACATCTTTTTTTTAGGTTTACTTCTTATCACAAACATTATGTGACGGATGATTATTTTTATTATTATTATTGGTATTATAACGCTTTACTCTTGTTTTCTTCAATAGGTTTCCTGTTTGATAATTGTCTTTTAATGTGTTTCCTATTTACTTCGAATCAATGTACAAACTAATCAAGGAAGAAAGAATGCAAGTAAGAAAGAAAGATAGAAAAAAGAAAGAATGAAAAAAACGAGCACACTCTTCATAATCTTCGACTACGGAGGAGGAATACAAGAATCATAATCATAATGATTTCATTATTAATTCGTTAATAATAATAATAGTAATATGGCTAAAAAGTAAACAAACTCCACGAGAATGGCTAATCAAATCGCAAACCTACTAAATATTTTTAGTTTCATGTGTTTTATGTGTTCCATTTATAAAGGGAATATGCGGAGAGTTGGGGGTTGTTCATTTTTTTAAGGACCTACACCAAAAGAAATGAACGATTTTGGGGGGAAAAAAATCTAAGCACTTTCGGCACACGCTAGAGTGCATGTTGCATCATGTAATTAGTAGTTGTTGAGCGAAGGGAAATTAATTGGTCGACGTCGTCATCGAAAATCAACAGGTCACATAACTACTAGGCCGATAGTTGGATCGGTTTGTTTCCACGACGTTTGCTCAGCTGCTTCCAGAATCTTCGATCCAGTTGTCTCTCCTAAAATGATGATTATTATTATTATTTGATACAAATCTATTTATTGTATATATACCTTTAATCTGCGCAGAGATTCAGGTTTCTCGGAAAACGCGGTTGGCACCTCGTCCGAGTAGTCGCCTTCCTTGCTGAAGACCTTGATCAGATGTTTGCCTCCGGGGAAGGTCTCGTAGATCTTTCGCTCGCGCCGCACGTTGAAAAACTCCAAGCTGCGAGCAGAAGAGGGCGAGAGTTGATGGTCAGAATGGTTGGTCGGCTGTTGTGATCGGAAATGCAGGTAGCAAAAACTTACAACTTGACACCTCTGGTGGGTGGGATCCGCTCAATATTTACGAACCTCATGCTCGGACGATTTCTGAAGCGAGTGAAGAAACCAACGTGGTCGTCTTCTGCCTCGATGATGCGTCTGTAGCTCTCGGAACGGTGAATCGAGGTTATTGTTGTTGCCGTGATGATGGCGTTGGCGCTTCCTGTGGTGATGGTTGTGGTCGTCGTCGTCATCGTGGTCACCATCGCCAATGACGACAATGTTCTCGTCGTCGAATCGTACGGCGACGCCGTTGTTCTTGGTGTATCTGATCCTGCGGAATTTGTCTGTGCGGCCGGCGTTTCTGCAGCAGCCGAGCATTCGTCAGCAGCATCGCCAGTTCCGTTGCCCTGCCCACAATGTAATGCAAGATTTTTTTTAAATTTCATTTCTACCCCCCCATTGCTATTTGCTACTACTTGCGGATTGGAGAGATATAGAGAACATATCGTAAAGGGAGGATGAGAGAGAGAGAAAGAGAAACAAAAAGAAAGAAGCATTACTAGATTAGTACAGATGCGATCTCGCCACTATGTATACCTTCTTCGGGGACACCGAACTCCTAGTCGGAGTCGAGTCGTTCGATGCCGAGGAAGCTGTTGACGACGAGGACGACGTGTAGGTATCCGAATACTCTTCTTCCATCAACGGTTCCAGAGTTCGCCTGGGCAGCAATCCCCTGATGCTCGAGCTGGTCACGGGCGGCGTCATCAACAGCTCATCCATCATCAACTCGGTGTCTTCGTTGGACGACAGGGACTCTTCGCCGTTCGGCTAACGCAATGTGTGAATGGAAGGGAAAGGGTCAGATTAATCGCACGAATCTATATAAACACTAAACACTTTGTTCGTGCAGCATGCATGCAATAGCAGTAGTTTCAGTTTCTAACCGAATTCCGAGGATCACCGCAGTTCGAACTCAGCGGATCGTCCAGATCTCCTCCACTCGTCGGCGTCCCCCAGATCTCCTCACCCGAAGTCGCTCCAGACGTTTCCTCCTCCTGTCCATCATCTCCATTCACGGTTATCTCATTCTTCAAATACCTGCAGTACGACACAATTACTACATATCAATATCTAGGAAGACAGAAAGCAGCATTTTTTGAACACTTACTTTTCGAAGAAGGCCATCTTTTCCGCGACAAAAGTACCCGCTCTCGCTGTCCAACTCATGATTGATGAGTGATTAAACGCTTCGTTGTCTATGCCGATATCGTCGTCATCTTCATCCTGATCGTCCTCTTCTTCCACTTCGTAGTCGCTCTCCTCGTCCGACGAGTTCTCTCTCGGATCATAATCCTCCTGCTCATCGGATGCAACCCTCTCCAGGCTGGACACTGTTCCGTACCTCTTCAGCGTCAAATTCGAACTGTTCAACGAGTGATAAGGTTGCTCATCTACCAAGGGCGAATCATCGGGCGAGTTGTCATAGTCCTTGTTAAGGATTAATTCTCCGATCTGCATCAACAAAAGAAGATAACGTACATTGTTACTATTGTTACAGAGTTTACCTGTGGTCTCGAGGATTGGCAATTGCAGTTGGCATCTTCGGGGATGAATTCAGAATGAGTGATGCTCATCTGCAATTCGGGGGTCGGCGGTAGCACGGATATCTGAGGTGGCGGAGCTGCGAATGGGTCCAGCTTAACGAGACAGGCGGTCGGATTGACGGCGGTCAGTCCCATCAGTACGAGTGGTCGCCAATCCTCTTCCTCCTCCTCCGCCAAGTGCACCGCCTCCACGCAATTGTTGTTTTTGCAGTTAGAATCCTGCCGTCTCCTGTCTCCGTTCATGGTGGGACTTTGCACGCACGTCCTGTGGCATTGTCTGCACACGTTCACAGTCTCCGGGACCAGAGGGCTGGAGCGGACGGTCACCTAGAAAAATACAGACTATCCGTTTCATATCTCCTTCTCTCGTTGACTATTGCTAATGTATTGTTTACTTGGCTTTCTGTGGTGTTGGTGCTCCTGGACGGACTGAGTTCCTCGTGGTCGGAGTAGACTACGATGTCTTCGCATCTGCTCTCGCAGCATCGACGCATATCATCATCCTCTGCGGGATCATTCGCATTGTTGCCGTTCACATTGGCGTGTTGCGTACTGTTGAGCAGCCGGAGCTCTTCAGAGCGTTTCCGGACGCGCTCCTCCGTCCAGAGTTCAAAGTCATCGTCGTCGGGCGCTTCAGCGGGGGCGCCGTTCCCGCCGAACTGACCCTTCATCCACTGCTCTAAATGAATAGCGTTACTTTTGCTACTGCTACTAGACTTTTCCAGTTGCTTACATTTATGCTCTATAAGCTCATCTATTTGCTTTTTTTGCTCGGTAGTTTGTTCCGAGTAGTTTACGTTACGTGGGGCCTGAAAAAAGCAGTTTTATATGCAGAAAGAAACTTGTATCTTATTCGGAGAGGGTGGTGATAATGGTGATGGTGGTGTGTGAAGAGAAAGAAAGGAGGAAACCGATCAACCGTCAGCCCACTCGCCGCCTAACAACCCTAACCAATCGCGCGGATCAGTATAGAAGGTAGTAAAAAGAAGCAGTTGTGTACTAACTAATAGTTCGTTTTATTTGTAAATATATATATGTATATATTAATATGTATATATCATAAATTACATTCGGTAACAATATATATATATAAATCAAATCAATCTAAATAGGGATGCTCTACAACTACTATATGTAATTCAGATTCTTTCAGGTTTTCAAATATTTGAAGCAGTACATCGTTATATTAGTTTCAGTTGTTTATGTCTTTTTTTTTTTCTCGTTTTGTTTGGGTTTGTTCATTTCCTCATCTTTCTCTCGATGATATATGATTTATATTTATACTTATACTTATTATATATAGAGAGAGAAAGAGAAAACAAAAACAAAAAAGGTACTTTGATAGAGAGGCAGTCAATTTGGTAAAAGTGTTTTCGGCAAAAAGGAAAAACACTGATGGCACATTTATCGAATTCAATTTACAAAACAATACACACGAACAACTCTCCAACATTTAGTTAACAACGAACGAATCATTAGGTCTCGAGATCATCTTCTCATATTCGAAAGAGTCTTTGGGATATGTCCTCACACATTAGACATAAGATTTTAGGGGTTGTAGTGGGTGAGTGTGTGTGCAAATATTGATTTGATATTATCGTTATATTTTAGAAATGTCAATGTACTCGTCGTCGTTTTCCACTTCGAGGCTGAACTCGTACTCAAAGGTGACGATATCCCAAGGTTCTTCGTCGAACTTGAGGAGATCAATGTCCTCCGAATGCAGCGCATCGGTGGTGTCGGTAGAAATGTCATCGATAGATGAGGGAGTGAGAATGGCCGACGGCGGTGAGGACGGTTCCTCGATGGGTTCTTTGGTGGGTGCGACGAGGCTCGACTCAGATGCGAAATGCGAGGTGAAGGCTTGCGAGGACGCGGGACTGATGTTGGCGGACGGCGTCTCCGGAGCGTCGGAGAGGACGCTCCGGCAACCGATGACCGCCGATGGAGATGGTGGCGATGGTAACGAGTAGGAAGTTGGGTGAGATTGGGAATGATTGCGGTATTGGTGATGGTTGTAGTGGCAATGGTAACGCCGATCGGGATGCAGAGGATGAGGAAGCTGTTGCTGCTGTGACGACAGTTGAAGCGGCGAAGACGAGGAAGTCGGTGATGGCGACGTTTGGGATGATTGTTTCAGCTGAAGCTGCAGCTTTTGCAGTTGTTTTGAAGAAGGTGAAGAAGGCGGTGGTGGTGGTAGTTTTGTTCTTGTTTGCTGTGCTGATTGACAAGGATTGTTATCTACTACTGGTGGTGGTTTTGGTGGTGGTGGTTCTCTGCGGTGACCGCTACTCAGACGCACCTGCCGACGTAGGGACAACGAATCTGCTGACTGAAGGGTAACCACGGAGGAGGTGATTGGAACGTCGGGAGATTCTAACGGGCTGCTATAAGAACTGCCCTCCATGCCCGCGTTTATGTGGAAGCTGCGTGCGTATAACAACAACACTATCAGAGATTTCTACGGAATATCCATAAAGTCACCAATATTAGTCATTAAGAAACACACTAGTAGTATAACATATTAATTAATAAACGACTACTAACCAAAACAAATCTAAAAAGATATGTAAAACAAAACATTACGTAACGCTGTTCATATGTGAACAGCACCTCGTCATCCACACTCCTAAGGCGCGAATCCAAAAAAAAACTGCATCTTAATAAACTCTCGCTATTATTATCAAAACCAACACCTATAATTATAATATATTATTTTCCTATGACTTTCATCCCTTACACATTAACAATTTCTATTAATAAAGTTATTCAATGTCAAGAACGTTATACAACTTCAATTGCTAAATATAGATGATGAATAGAATATGTATTTAATCTGAAAATGTGTGGCAAGGATTTTAGCGGAATCAGATTAGAGAGGTATAAATCCAATTGGTGAGGAAATTAGCGAACTTAATGCTTACGTCGCAAAGTGTGGTAAATTGGATTATGGTGCAATGATTTAACGATATTAATAGAAATCGTACTGTACGGAATTCTAGAACTATGAAACTAATTAAACTGTCGCAGTATAAAGGAAACTGGATGTCAGAAATCGACGATACGGAAATGCTGTAAGAAATAGCATTAGTAAAATATACATCCTGATCGGTTCTAAGAACACCGTTATGCGGCCTTTCTACATGCAACAAGATATAAGAGAAAATGTTTAGTTGCCTTACGACGTCGTTGCGGTACAACTTTGATCAAGATCCCGCTTAACTTTATGGATACACTAAAGTCGAATCATGGTTGAAATGGTTAATACAGTTTTGCGTGAGTGCAAAAGAGAACTGAGATGGGAAGAAAATAGTAGCCGACTGGTTGTTGTTACTGGACACTTACATCTGTCGCTGGAGGAGGTTCTGCCAGACGGCCTTCAGCTCGACGGTAGGCGTCCGAAGGATGAGGCATCTTCTACCAGGATTCTTCCTGGGAGTTCTCGAGAGGTCGGGACCACAGTGGACCGTCGGACTGGTGGCGTTCTTACCGCCGCCCGGCTCCAGCACGATGCGAAACTCGTTGGCTAAAAGCTCCGCGTAAAATTACTATTACTGCCGACGAGCACGTTCGATGAACATTCTCACCCTTTTTACGGACGTTAAACAGGAAGTCGGTGATCTGCGACAGCGGCAACGGATCTTCCAGAATGAAGAGCACCCGGTCACGGGACACCTTGGCGAAGAGAAGAATGTCGCTGAAGAGGAGCGCCCAATATTGCCGCACAGTCCGACCTTCGACTCTGCTCAAATCACCGCCGAAAATCCACTGTCGACCAGGTTTGCTAAGCACGAAGGGCTGCAACAGATGAATATGATGATTCGTTTTGAATGAATGAATCATCATGCAAACCTTGCACTTGGTGAAAACCAGCCTGTTCTCCAAGTCTTGCACCGAGAGCAGTGGTCTGCCCTCGCCCATAGGTTCCATCAGACCCGCCTCGGAAGTCATCTCCCTGTAATTCACCTAGAATAAATGGTAACTATTTCCTGCGACATCGTCGTTTCGCGTTACCTGCAGCTCGTGCACTATGTGATTGATGGCGTGGTACTCGTCGTGATGGGATTTCGTTTGGCCCAGCAGCACGTTGAATAGCTTCAAAATCTCCCTGTAATGCTCCAACGGCTTGTGAACAAAGACGGTGATGTCGGGTCGCCTTCTTGGAATTGCTGGCACCTGGGTGAATCGAACGAACTCCTGATTCTTCAGCAGATTGGCAAGTACGCAGTCTGCTTTTTGTATGCCCGAACAGTACCTCTTGTACGCTCCAGTCATCTCGTTCAACTTCATGTGGTACGTCCTTAGCAGCAGATGAGTCTGGTAGTCGCCGTCCTCTTGCACCAGGATGTCCAGCACGTCCTCCGTTATCCGCAGCAGCTGCAACATTAACAAACTTTAATCGATGGTGTAAACCAAATTTATACTTGAGTCAACTAGACTATCTCAGAGAGGAAGGTAAAAAGTGGAGACAGCTTGGGGCTGCTTTTATTATTTATGGCTTATTACGTATAGTAAACTGAGAACAAAGATATATTAACCGAAGGGAGCGGCCCACTTTGCCAAATTAGTTCACCTAAGATCACGCCTTCTCCGACTACACTCCCTTTTTTCTTTCTATAATTAATTTTTCAGCAGAAACAAATAATTATCCCTCCCGTATCAAAAGTATATTACATTCCACCGCATTTACGTGTTGCAATATTATTAGAGAATTGGAAACAATCTCTTCGTGTATTTGTTTAAGTGGGAGTCTACGAGATGTCAGAGATGAGATGAAAGCAATGGAAGAGCGAATCGGAAATACAAGACGTTGAAAGAAAGAAGTTTGAAATGTATCGTGTTACCTCATCGGCGTTCTGAAAGAGCGTCCGGTGATCGTTGGCCCCGATGAGATCCTTCCTCTCGGCCAACGCCGAAACATATCTGGCGAGCGAAAATTGAAGAGATGTTGCGTACTGCTGCTCTCTGGTAATTATTTGGTACATGGCTTTTCTTCTCGACTCCTCTGCACTACTCGTCGGCCTCTGAAACAATTAACCAAAAGGAAGCATTGTTTTAAACAGAATTTGTAAATCTATATAAGTGGTGGAAAGGATAGTGTAAAATTGAGGAAGAAACGAAAAGATAAAATAGAACTTAACAAAACGCAATGTATTTTTTCAAAATAATAAGACAAAAACATAACACAAATAACAACTTAAAAAATAAATTAATAGAATTAAAATAATAATAATAATAATAAGGAGAGAAAAAAAAAGAAGTAATGCCCTAAGTGCTAATAGTAGATGTTTAAAAATATATATAAATATATAAACAAAAAGATATAATGTAATAATAATAAAAATATTTTTTTTTTTTTTGANNNNGTAATAATAATAAAAATATTTTTTTTTTTTTGAAAAGAAATATAGTTGGAGATGAAGAGAAGGACAACATTTGGTAAAAGTTACTGGCCATAAAATATAAAAAATAAAGAATAAATACTAAATGCATAACAAAAAAAAAAAATTAATAATAAAAATAGTAATCAATTATGCACACGCATGGGAATTAACGTTTGCTTTAACTACTACTTTATGTAAACGCTGCTGCATGTGCATACTTGATAATAATAATAAAAAATAATGGTAATAATAATAGTAATAATAATAAATGGTGTTGATGGTGTCGATGATATCGGTTGTGTCGTTGGTTAAACTATGATGCCTTTACCAACCTCCGAGCTGAATGTGACTTGGGGTAAATGCAGTTTCTTCCGGTTGTACTCTACGGAGGTGGTGTTCGTAGAGCAGACGGTCGAAGGTCTCCTCTGAGCGGTTACCATGGACGCGGGAGCGACCGTTGGTCCCGGTGAGTTTTCCGTTTCCGGGAAGTTCATGAGACGGCGCACGCTAGGAACGGAACCGTTTCGGGAAGCGTTCCTCCTGAACGTCTCCAACGTCAGCTGATTACCAAACGACCTGGGAACAGAAACAAAAAACAACATTAGTTTAAAGTCATAAAGGAATGTGTATGCAGCATTACCTGATCAAATTTAGGATGTCGATTTCGGGCATCATGACGACGTTGTGCTTGTCGACAAAGATGAGGTAATCTCCAGGGAGGATGCCCGCTTTATCTGCAGGAAGACCCTTTTCGACGCGCTCGATGCGAGGCGGATGCGTCCACACTACAGAAAATCCGAATCCGCTCTTCGGTGCCCTCCGCAGCATCTTCGTGGTGGTGAAGGGCGTGCGGCCGTTAGTCTTGTTGCCTGTCGCCTTCCTTTGGGCGGCCGCGGGCGCCGCCTCCGGACCCTCAGTCGGATCGAACTCCAGGTACCTCAAAAACAGGTTCTCGTCCGCGTCTTTTTGCTGTTGCAGAAGCGACACTTTGCAGGGCGTCTTCTTCGGTTCACCTTCCATATCTTCGAAGAGTCCACCACCGCCCACGACATCCTCCACGCTCGATTGACTCTCGCACATCTTGCTCAACTGATTGCACCGACTCGATGATTGCGGCAATAGCTGATACGATCCACTGATATTCTGCAAAAGAAACAAAATATTAATTAATTTATTAAATTGTGTGATAGTTAATTAAACTTTATCAAGTGAAATTAAAAATTTAAATCGTTTAAAAGAGGGATGAAGAAGTTTAATAACGGAAACGGAAAATACAAAAGTAATTTATTGAAAAAGAATTTTCTGATAAACGTCACGTAACATCGTGTGTTATGTGACACACTCAATTTCACCTCTATTATGCGGAAAAACACCTACCACGAAATGTCGGAGAGGGATTTTCTAAAAAGCACGTCGCAAATAAGTAAATATGTAAAGAATACAAAAAAACAACAACATGGGTTAACTTCGTCACGTACGCACATCACAGATCGATGCTGCGGGGGTGGAGAAGCAGGAGGAGGTGTTGTGCGGCAAAGTCACAAAAAGACAGTGCTGATACGCCGCAGAACCAATTTACATTCGGCCCCATAAAACCCTAAAGATATGCCCTTGATAAACGATGTTGTTACACGATGGAAGAGGAGGGGTTGTACGAAAAGAAAACAACAAACTAATTGGAAATGTGTAAATGGAGGAGATAGTGGGAGAACGTGACGTACCTTTTTAATTGCATTTTTTATAACGAAGGACATGCATCCCAGGAACTCGCTGCGTCTGCAAAGAACAAAAAGAAAATAAATGGATTAGTAAATTTGTTCAATTTTCCGCATGCCATAGTCTAATCAAATTAACGCGCGCTATTTCGATATTAACAAAAAATAAAACTGGAGGCGATTTCGAAGATTAATGTTACTAATTACAAAGTGAATCCGAATCTCGCACATGTTACGAGCGATCAACGACATGTGGCCAAGCCAGGCCACCCTTCCTCCCTTAATTGCGAACGCCTCTTCTATTTCTTCCCTTTATTTATGTTAGATGATCCCCGCACCCTATGCGGATTAAACAAGAGGAAGGGGGCTCGCGCGATCTACCCAGATCGATTCATAATTGCCATTTAAAATTTATTTACTGTTAGGATTAACGCGGAAAAGAAGCGCATCCATCTGGACTGCAGACCTCTAATGATGTTGTTTATTTGTGCCGCGGGTTTCGAAAACACGTCAACTTTAATCCCACTACATTCTTTTCATTAAAATCGAAATAGCATACTGAAAGCATACGTAAATAAATAATGTGCATACGCAGAGGGGTGAAGGATATTTAAAATAAAAAAGAAACCTCTGTATTTCGACTATTGATCAATGCAAGTCCGAAACGTAAATAGGCTTAAATGTTAACGAGATATTTTGATTATTAATTGGAGTGGAGGAGAGTCGCATGGGTCTAAAAATAGGAAATAATTGAGTGAATCGATTGCCAGCTGCTATTAATGATTTATACCTATATTCGAGCGAGGATAATCATGTAGTAATATAACTTGAGACATACATATCATGTGATATACCGCGCGATTTATCATGATTCTGCACTTATTATTAGGCTAAGAGTGTAAGAACTCGTTACTCTTTTGTTGCACAATTGAAATTCGCCATCGGCCACAAAGCCTTTCATAATATGTGTGTATGAAGAAGTCGTTATTAATAATTAATTTGTACAATTGAATTTCCATAATAAAAATAATGATGATTTCAATATATGAGATTAAGATAGAAATATTTGGAAACTTGCAAATCTAATTTGATTGTAATTATAGTTGGAAACTCGAATTTAATTTATTATAGTATGAATCTTAATTTATTAACAGTTCTAATTTGATTCTTCGCCGTTAATTTCATTCTTTCCGGATGGATTTTAAAGAAGAATAAGTGATGCACAGGTAGTGCAAGAGCTGAAGGCAAGAGACGGCGAGTCTAATTCGATTTTGGTCGGACAAGAGCAACAGAAAACGAAAGAAATAAACCAAAGCGAAAAAGTTTGCCTCGGCGAATGCAATATGCAAAACCCAATGCTTCTCTCTCCAGCAAATTTCACCATTTTCTCCCTTCGAAACTGTGCGGTCATTAGTTATTTATCAGAGCCCGCTTGCTGCTCTACGTTCCACATCTTAAATTCATTAGTTAAAGAAGAAATAAAAAGCAAAAAGTTAGATTTATAAGCTCTACATACAAATTCTAAAATTGATATTTTAATTAGAATTAGAAAGTTACGAATATTATTAATTTGTTTAAATAGTAAGCAAGTCTTTTAAAAATAGATTGATCCGTTATGCAATAAGTTGTCGACCTATTTGGTATGCAAACAAACTATTTGTGCATGCAGGTAAACAAGCGCAGAAATAAACAGTTAACTTTGGACGATGAAAAGTTGAAATAGCTCAGGTTGCCATGGCATCCAAAACAAATACGTGCGTGGAAAGATTTGATTGCGTAACGTTGCCATGGTGATACATTTCTTGATTAAATCCAAACACTATTTTGAAATCGTATAGTAACGGTAAAGTTTATTTTAGTTATATATAAATTGAAAAAAAAACAGTTCATCGAAATTAATTTAATGAATTTGTTTTGCTGAAGTTATAAAAAAAAGTTTGTTGTTTCGGAAACGACGATGCAGCCGTTTCTGAAGTTGATCTGGTAGTATTGATATTGATTTGATATCTCCACCATCGAAGGCGGCTGGCTTTAACCCACTAACCGAAGAGAACTCGCCCTCGTGACACACTTTAACGCGAACATCTTCATTATTGGTAATGAGTGCTATATTCATCATCACACGCTTATGATTTAATAAAATTTCGTATTTTATCGAAATTTTCAATCGCTTGCAAATAAATCGTACAATTGTTAAAGTTTTTTTTTTTAAGTGAAAGGGAGTGAAGTGAACGAATGATGCGAATGGAAAGAAGAAGCAATCAATTGCATAACAACAACGAAAAAAAAAACGGGCATTGTGCGATGAACCACCCATCAATTCTTCATAATAGCCAATTCGATATTTCGTGTAAAATTTCCAATTTCATTCCACATAACCGGCTTCTCCCGGACAACAGAATGTATTGGATATGGATGTTGGTGGTTGTTCCCTTCCCTTAATTTATCACCTCTTAAATTCTAAATCCGAAACTGGAAAAGCGAACCCTTCGAAAAAGACCAGGTAGAAATATCCGAAAAGATAGAATCAAATGTTCAGTTTCCCGCTCGAGACTAGTGACCACAGTAGTTTCTATTAATCCAATCCAAAAGCGTTGAATATATATTCAAATATTTCTAGGAGTTACAAAATGATGCGTATCGAATATGAGATGTTATTTGGATGAAACGATGTTTGGCTGCGGATGCGAAGGGCGTTCATTAAATTAATAAGGATCTTTATTGCCCAGATCCTTGGCGCTGCTCCAATTATGCTATGGGCTGTAGGCCAGAAATCTCATTTTAAAATACACAATAATATTCGCAAATACACATATTAATCGCAAAGTTATTACATTTATGATCGTATTATTTTTATTATTATAATCAAATTGCAAATTTAAAGATGTAAATCGAATATAAGATAATTTACTAATTGTTTGGGTGATGTTGCAGATGGAAATTTATGTAATTGGAGGAGATGCTTCATTAAAAATTTGCTTGTGTAATGATGTATCGATTGTTGAGAGAGGAAAAGAGATTGATGCGCCTATTTATAGGAAGGAGTACCGCAAATGAATGTGTGTGTGTGTGTAGTCTGTGCGGGAATGCCGAGCGTGCAATAATACTCTCCTAAACTAAGGAGATAAAGGAGAGAGAAAGAGATACTCTCACCCCTATTATTATTGATTCGAAAATGAAAACAAAATTACCGTTTCGGGCATTCGCAAGATCGACGTAGTATCCTCTTGTATGAAATATCTTGTTGCTGTTTTTGTCGATGGCGGATGAGAGGCTCACTTATTTAAGGGGGTGTAGACGATGTGATGGGTCGCGTTGCGATCGCGCCGGACGTCGGTGCCGTCGGGGCCATGGGCTCGCACCAACTACCACAGGATACACACACACACGCAGTGTGGACCCGAAAAGTGCAGACCCCCAGGTCCTCTGGCAGCGGTTTTTCCAGGGTGGGCGCGCGCCGCCGCCTCGTGGGTGCGACAAGGAAGAACGCGAACGCGAGGAGAGGTGGTGCGGCGACGGCGGCAGCGGGTCTTCCCCGATCGATCCGCCGCTCGTTCGGTCGCACGATTTTGCGTACTCCGCAGCTTTTACCGCGGAAAACTGGTCGGAAGAGTATGAGAGGAGAGCAGTTGCAGAAGCTCTATCAACATTGAACACAACCGTACAAATTGCAAACAATTATAATTGAATTCTCACCTTGTTGCTCTGTCCCTGTGCCAGACCTCGACGTGGAGCACCTTCTGAAGGTCGGTCTTCTGCACCGGCACCTTGAAGACGTGCTCGAAGACGGGACTCGACGATTCCGCTTGCACTGCGGTTCTTTGCAACGTCCCCTTACGTCTCCTGCGCCCTTCACCCGTGCGCTCGCTCACTGCAACCTAAATCGAAGGAAACGAACAAAAAGAATACCATTAGTTACTACTACTACTATTCTCTATCCCCTCATTCACCATTTCCATCCCCTTCACAAATACAGACATCTTCAAAAAAAAACAATGTACGATCGTCATCCGCACATTCCTCACTCATCAACATTCGTAAATTGAACATTACTCTGCACCTTCAGCTTCATTTCAACCACAACCAACACTTTTTCCATCACAAATCGTTGATATCATTGAATAATCACTAAATTCGTAAAATTCTACACCGACTCGCTCTGACATTTATCAACAAACAAACTTAAGGTTCAATTGTCGTTCCTAGCAACGCATCCACCATATTCAATAAGCTTACTTTGATTTTATTTTCAAAATATATGTGATGTGACTTAAATTCACATCACATTTATTTCTTATTTCTATTTATTTGCTTATGCAAAGAAGAGTATAATATGTATGTTGTAATGTGTAGGAGAGAAACAGTTGAGGTGATTCCCATATCAATTTTCTTTATTGCAACGAACGAACAAATATAAAACAAAAGAAAAAGGTAACATCGAAATCAATTAAAACTAACTTAAAAGATTATCAATAATACAGTAATAATAATATTAAATAAATAACGTGAGAGACGTGCTTATATAACAAGTGGTTAATATTGATTGATTGATTAAAGAAAGAAAAAATGAGATAAATAAATAATTAATAACTTTCAGTGTTTAGTAAATTTTTAAATGTAATTTATATGAAAAGTGCGTGGATATCGGCCGTGCACGCAATTTATGTAATTATGTAATTTTCGGTTTATTGAAATTAAGTAATTGCACGTGTGGAAACGAAGATTGCGTGTGCATTTGCTATGTGTGTTTTATTATTTTTTTTTTTTGAGGAAGACGTGAATGGTTGTTGCTTTTGGTGACGTAACTAAATGTTATCGATTGGTGGAATGAAGATGCAGCGGTCGCTTGAATAATGCAAGGATTTGAATATGCCGTAATTATAGATGTAAAGAAGGCAAGGGAAGTGAGCGAATGTAGTGGATGGAAATAAAGGGGAACACGTGCGTGGAATGTTATCCTGCCGCTGATGTTGTTGAGTTGACGGTAACCGATACGTCTCGAGTCGGCGGTAATTAGTGCAAGAAGTTTAAGATGCAAAGACGGCCACAGCTTTGGTTGTCACTCAGTCAGTCTCGGTCGGTGAGTCGAGAAGGGTTTCGCGCAAAATAGAGAAAGAGGAGGAGGAAGCACCAAGACTCTTTGAGACAGCTGCAGCTTGTTCTTGTTTTTGACGATGGTGGAAAGGGCAGAAGAACGAGAACACGAAAGAAGGAGAGCCGTTAAATGCTCGATAATCACAATAACACGAATTATCGTAATGGGGGGTTGTTGTTGTTGGCTCGAGCATTAACCACATGTTGTTTGAACAAATCTGATTCAACAACTGGTGTTGTTGCTGTAGCTGTTGTAGTTGTTCCTCACCTTCACATACGCGTTGATCGGTTGGCCATTGGTGCGTCTCAGGTCGGAGCATCTGAAGACTGGAAATTGAAAATTATAATTTAATTAAGAATTGAACATTGTTTTGTTTTTGAATACTCACTGTTGATGAGCAACTCTTCGGTGGATGCATCAATCTGCAGGTCGATGGTGCCGCGATCCTCCGAAGCTCGAGCATTTGGCGTGGAGCAGGCCACTTTGGGGACGACGTCCACCACGAACGTCTCATGTTTAACGTCGTCGCTGTCCTCTGAGTCGAAGCTATGATCGTTAGCATCGGTCATCTCCGAGGTGATGGTCGTTTGCGGCGTCTTGATATTATCGTCCAGTCTCCTGCGACGGATGCCCTTTTGCCTCCTCAGCGCGCAATTATCGTCCAAAAGTGGTCTCTTCACCTGCATCTCCTCTTCCGACGGACTCGATGAAAGATGTCTCTTTCTCCCGCCGTTAACGTCTTCGTCGACGCACCGTTCATTGTAAGTGCCGTCAAGATTGATCATCGTCATCTCCTCTTTCTTCGTCCCGCTGCATTTGCACGTGAAGTTCGCGTCCAGCTCGTGGGATTGCACGCTCGAACTCCGGAAACCCGAATCCGTCGAGTTGCGATCCGAATAATAGTTTTGCCTCTCCTCCTGCTCCGTGTTGATCAGATTCTCCTCCTGCGTTTCGTTCAGCTCGTTGTCCCTCTCCTGCGCCCGCTCGCATTCCCTCTCGCTATTGCTGCTGCTGCTGATGTTATTATTGTTAATATTGTTGTTATTGGAAGAATCGTTGGACGAATCGAGGATCGCATCGACGATCTTATCCAGCGAAAGGTTGTTAATGAAGGACGAGTTGTTCAGGTTGTTGCTGCTGTCTTCGATGGAGGTGAGTTTGCTGAATCTCAAATCGACGAATCGCTTGACCAGTGGTGTCAGTTTGGAGTCCTCGTCGTGTGCTGGAAAACGAAGCATTTTACTTTCGTCTTCCTCCGGCGACGTGAAGCACGAGATCTGCTGAAGGAAATCATTGACGTGATCGATTTTCGCTTTCTTGCTGGGCGGACACAGATCCGCCAATTTGCTTTGGATGGATAAGATTTGCATTGGGACACGAGGTTGAGGACTCGCACCACCTTTTATCGAACATGGTGAATACTCGAGTGCAAATTTCGGTAGCGTAGGAGCGTACGACGTCGTCTTCGTGGGTTTCTCTTCCACCACAATATCAACATCATCGTCGTCATCTTCGAAAGCTGCGTTTTTGCAACCGCACAGATCGTTAAAATCTTTGCTCGTTAAACCCTCGATGTGCGAATCTACCGCTTCGAAAGGCCTAAAGTAATTATTTCCGAATCTGCTGCTGTCTGGGCTGATGGCAAAATCCTGGCTGTGCGATTCAATGCACTGCTTCTTCTTCTTCGGCGAGTACAGCTGTCTGTTGATGCTCTTGCACTTTTTCGCAGTCGTTATCGTGGTGGTTGTCGTCCTCCTCCTTCTGTTCGAAGTGTCCTTCGGCGTGAGATTGCTGACGTCGCGGAAGGCGTCCTGCGGTGATGCATCGTCGGAACCTTTGATCGGCGTCGACGTGTATTGGTTCTCCTTGTCCATAATCTCCAGATGGTTGACGCCGGAGCGTCGCGACGCACCCGAGCGCCGCGTCGTGCTCGATCGTCGACGCTTCGTCGCCTTCCCCGCAGATCTCTCCCTCATGGTGCAGATGCCAGCCGTGGAGCGGCGCCTCTGTTCACCGCTGCCGCCTCCTCCTTTCTCCTCACGTTTATTTGCTATAGACCACTTCAACATCTTCGCGCGACAACAAGAATTTCCTGCAACAAACAAAGACCATCGATTAAAACACAATTACAGAAACGGCTGAAGAACCAACAAAAATAAAACACCTGCACCCAAAAATTACAACCGTTTTCACGGAGAGTCCACTAACACCGCATCGAGATCGAGAAGGCCGGACATCGATTGTTTTTTAATATTGTTTTAGACTAAGGTACAAATCGGAAACGGAAGTGAGTCGTGGGCGGCAGGTGGCGTGCACCCGCATCCAGAGACAAAACAAAAGACCGAACGATTTAAAAAAATAAACTGAAAATCGTGCTTTTCGAAAAGGGGGTTACGACCCCACTCAAACAAAACACATTCTGACAATCGCACCCCAAAATCTAATAGAGAGAGAGAATGACCTATTAAAAACGCATCACACAATTCGAATTGCATTTGTTCATCACCATCAAGATTTTTGGTAAACTTTCAAAAACCAATCAAATTTCATTCAATTAATCACTAAATATAATAATAATAATAATAATCAAGTTTATTGACCAAAAGAACAGATACAAAGAAAATAAAATAAAACAAATTTACAATGAGTACATTTGGCCAAAGGGAACCGAATCAGTTTTTCCAAGTAAAAAACAGAAGATCAACTGTTCTTCCTTCGGTCCCGAAAAAAATAAAATAAATATATTGAGTTTACAATTTCACTCAATATTTAGTTTTTTTCTTTCTTTTTATTTAATAGTTTTCCATTCAATTCACAATTCGTTTCGCACAATTAATTTCAATTTGTGGTTCGTCGTATGTAAATAATCACTTGAGGAATCGTCAGGCCGTATCGTATTATATAGTAACAACACACACTATCTACCTACTTTACCAACCACCCCCGTTTATTTGTCTTCGTTTTCGGCATATTTCTTTCGTCCCAAATAAAAAAAATTAGAAACGTACGGGGCATAAATTTTCTGGATCTTTTGGCGCGCGCGCGTCTTTCAGTCGTCGACGGTCGACGTCTTCCGCATGCCACCCGCTCGCGATGAATACATTTGAATGAATTACTTGAGACTTTTCCCTTCTTAAAGAGAGAAAAAAACAACAAATAACCGAAGAAACCACTAACAGTTAGTTAGCCCTAAATAGAAGACGAATGTGTTTACTTGGACGCACACAAATTGAAGAAATTTGTTCGCTAAATGGATAAATCGAATCTTAATAATAAACACAATTAGTTCCGTTTTATTTTGAAAATTAATAATGAAAGTTGTTTAAAATAGGAATTAGTGATTTATGATGATGACAATCGTTTCTTTTGACCGTTATTGAATCATCAGGGATAGACAAGGGAATTGCGTGTAGTATCAGCGTCAATGGAATAGATTTATTAACTTTGTTCAATAGATTTTTCTGATGAAGGAATAAAGACCAGTTGTTGTTATTGTTGTTGTGTCCCCCTTCACGAAATGTGTAAATTATGATGTTACACTCTATTAGATGATAGTTTTTCGATTGTGGACAATAATTTGCGGCGTGACGCAGCGAATTCCGCGCGAAAAAAGGAGGAAAAAAGGGACGAAGCAAAGCACCCCACAACAATAAAGAAGACCACCACCAATTTGGAACGCGAGCGAGTGAATTAAAAAGCGAGTCAAAGTCTGGCTGCTGTTTGATCAATAGTGTAAATAGCATTTCTGGTGGTCGCATCTGCTGCCGAAACCAGTTCCCTTTTTTTGAAAACTTTCCTGTACAGGTCAGGACAGGACAGGACGAGGACGAGGACCACCCTTCCTACCGAAGCTGACCTAAAGTCAACAAACTCAATTTTCAATTGCAGCCTCGTCATTGTCTGCATGCTAATAGATTCATAACGACTTTATCAATCGATCCCAAAAAATGCAATCAAATGAATTTACGATCATCATAATTATACGATTCATTGCGTTTATAGGTAAAACTTATTGAATAGAAAAAAAAAACAGTTATTGAAGCGTGCACTATAAAACTTATATATCGATATCGGACAAAAGGGATAATGATATTCAAAATATCAATTGTGAATTGGACTGTGAGCAATATTAATTAGCATAATTGCGTATCGAAGCTTGAAGTATTATTTATTTTTTTTTTACAGTCTAATATTTTTCCCCTTTAATATATTTTTTTGTTGTTGTTGTTATTGTTGTTTGTCCCTTCCCTTTACAATCTACCTAAACTGTTCGCATGTCGCCTCAAAAAAAAAAAAAGAAGGGCCACATTGATTCGGGATTACGCCCCCCGACAAACGTCAATCAAACGTGCGGATCGGAGGCGGCGGCGGCATATGGACGAAACAAAAACAAAACAAAACGGTAACGATAGCCACCGTCGCCGCCACCTTACCATGACGAACGAGGTGGTGTCCCTTTTCGTTTTTTAATTTCACCCTAAGTACGCGATGTATACATGTTATACACACACACGAATAACTAATTCCACATTTTAACACCATATGCCACGACGAGCAATGAATATATTAATTGGGGGCGATATTTATTTAGCGTGGGGCAATTTAATATCGAGTAGAGTAGAGTGGAGTTCGCACCGACCGTTGAGGGTCATAAATACATTTGAATATTATCAACCCCGATTTCCACGCCAATGACCTGCAAATGCTAATTTCATATAAAAAATTTCGAAACGAAATCACGCAATTGAATTTTATTTAAAAAAAAAACGGGCGGAAAGACCTTGGTCGTTAGCCCTTTGGCCAGCCTATTAGTATATATATTTTTATTTATGTATAAATTGTACTTTTTTTTTCTTCTTCTTCTTATGTATCGATGTTTGGCCAATAAATTATTATTATTATTTTTTTTTAAACACATTTTTTGATTGAATTTAACTTTTACAAACTTTTGTTTTTGGTTAATATTATTTGCTAGTTACTAAGGAAACCATTTTGGCAAGTTGTGAATGCAAAATTGAGTTGAATATTGAATAACTACGAGAAAATCACGCAATCAAGAATCTAATTAATCGAAAACCATGTTTTTTCACAGATAAGCATGTTCGTGTTTTGTTTTCTAGTATGGCGTCATGTCATTTGTTCACGGCCTACCAATTATATAATTTGTAAATTATCCTATAGTAGTTTTCATGAACTATATACTAAATAAAATATGATTTTAATCAGACTAAATAGATCTTTTTTGTAATTGTAATCCTTTTGTAATGTAATGATTGTTGCTTTGGAGAAATAAAATCAAGTGCGGAATGTTGCAAGTTCAAAAGCGAAGGGTATTTTACCACACTCGATACGGTACTTGACTTTACTCGGTCTGCTCAACCCCACCCCTGAGACTCAGTCGCTTAATGCTCGAGTAAAAACTACCTAGAATCCATATTTTTGTTTTAATTAATCTAATTAATGCCCATAATATTCACACTAATTGCAAAGAGCGATCGCTATCTAGTCAGTCAGTACATGGAGGTAAAAGTAGAGGTAGGTATTAAGCGAGGAAGGAAGGAAGGAAGGAAGATACGTGAGAACAGTATCGATCGAATCACGAGAATAAAAAAAAAACTAAGTGAACTGAAAAAGGTTAAAGAAGCATGAAAAGAATGAAGGGATATAAAGAATTGGATCGTCTGGGCTCGCGACGCCACAAAAGGAGGAAGAAGAAAGAGGTTAGGTCAGGTTAACCTTAAGCCCTTCGCTTCAGCTGGTCTCTTCCTCCTTTTCCACTCCTCTCCTCTCTTGCACATGTTTGTGTATGCGTTTTTTTTTTCATTTCACTTCTTTCTTTTTTTGGCGAGCTTTTATTCATCCCCGAATCTTACGGAAGCAGATGTTTAAGGCCGATTATCGCGCGCACCAACAGACTCACAAGAATGAGAAAAAAGTGCACGCACACATGCAGAGGCTGAATGAAAACAAATAATAAATATGCGCGACAGAGACACGGACAGATACAGAGATCTCGGCCCTTTTTTTCTTCTTCTTCTTCTTCTTCTTCATCTGCGATGCAAGATTTCCGTTATGGAAGAATCCTCGGGGATGAGGACGAGATGGTCTTGCACAATGCGGAAGACCTTTGTTCCGAACCAGAAGAGAGCAACAACAACAAAAAAAAACGCAGCCCTTCTCTCGGACGATTACATCTCGACATTTTCGTTTTCTTTTCAATATATAACCAGATTCTGTCTCACCCAAACTCCTGTCATCAACATCATCAGTAACATCTCTTCTTATCGCATGCAGTTTTTCTGCATCCAATTGGATTTACCCCCCTTTCATACAAAAGAAGAAAAAAAAACAGCAACAACTTGATTTCAATATATTCGTTAATCTTTCCAGCATAAAATTATATTCGTTTTTGTTACCATGGATACCGAAGATTCAATCAAATTACTAAGATTTGCAATTATCTTAGTTACCAAGGTTACGAGCATGGGGAGAATGCACTTTAATTTATTTATTATTGAAGTCTAACTCTTTGATGAATGTGTAAGAATACTTTAATAATAATGGCAGAAGGAAGTCCCAAATTTCATCATCAGTAACATCTCTTCTTATCGCATGCAGTTTTTCTGCATCCAATTGGATTTACCCACCTTTCATACAAAAGAAGAAAAAAAAACAGCAACAACTTGATTTCAATATATTCGTTAATCTTTCCAGCATAAAATTATATTCGTTTTTGTTACCATGGATACCGAAGATTCAATCAAATTACTAAGATTTGCAATTATCTTAGTTACCAAGGTTACGAGCATGGGAAGAATGCACTTTAATTGATTTATTATTGAAGTCTAACTCTTTGATGAATGTGTAAGAATACTTCAATAAGAATGGCAGGAGGAAGTCCCAAACATCATCATCAGTAACATCTCTTCTTATCGCATGCAGTTTTTCTCCAATCCAATTGGATTTACCCCCCTTTCGTACAAAAGAAGAAAAAAAAAACAGCGACAACTTGATTTCAATATATTCGTTAATCTTTCCAGCAAAAGATTAACGAATATATTGAAATCAAGTTGTTGCTGTTTTTTTTTCTTCTTTTGTATGAAAGGGGGGTAAATCCAATTGGATGCAGAAAAACTGCATGCGATAAGAAGAGATGTTACTGATGATGAAGTTTGGGACTTCCTCCTGCCATTCTTATAAAGTATTCTTACACATTCATCAAAGAGTTAAACTTCAATAATAAATCAATTAAAGTGCATTCTTCCCATGCTCGTAACCTTGGTAACTAAGATAATTGCAAATCTTAAAAATTTGATTGAATCTTCGGTATCCATGGTAACAAAAACGAATATAATTTTA